AGAGAAGAAATAGGCCAGCACGGCTGGTGTGGCTCAGGGGTTGAGTGTCAACCTATGAACCATGAGGTCATAGTTCAATTCCTGGTCAGGGCCCATGCCCGGGTTGAGGCTCAATCCCCAGTGTGGGGCATGAAAGAGGCAGCCGATCGGTGATTCTCTTTCATCATTGATGTATCTATCTTTCCCTCTCCCTTCCTCCCTGAAATCAATAAAAACGTATTTTTTAAAAGAGAGAGAGAAGGAATGAGATCCAGACCACTAGTGGAGTTTTTGGTGAGCATTGACGCCAACATAATGCCTTGTTCCTATACTTAACAATACTGGGACTGGGTATACTTTCTTGTCCTTGTATTAAACAATCTTGAAATCAAGTAAAAGCAACTTAGCTGATTGCTCCAGGAAATACTTGTTCTTGGGAGGTAAGGCTGAACCAACTAAAATGACTTGTTCATCAAGACTCCTTCAAGTACAGCTGGCGTAGCTCAGTGGTTGAGCATTGACCTATGAACCAGGAGGTCTCGGTTGGATTCCCGGTCAGGACATATGCTCAGGTTGCGGGCTCGATCCCCAGTCTGGGGCATGCGGCAGGCGATCAGTGATTCTCTCTCATCCCTGATGTTTCTATCTCTCTCCCTCTCTCTTCCTCTCTTAAATCAATAATAAAAAAAATGTTTTTAAAGTCTCCTTCAAGACTTCCCCTTCACTAAAGGCCCCTTCATGCCCACCATTCCAAAGCTGTTACATGCTCTGTTCAATCCTCACCACTTCTCCTCCTTGCAAGACCCACTTTAAGGTCACCCAACCTGGGCCTTAAAACTCTGTAAATATCCTGTCCTTACTTCCCTACTAAGATTCAGCAAGTGGTATTCTCTTTTATTACACTGAGTCTAACAAAGTAAGCTTAACTTGACAAACAGGTTATTTCCTGTTGGTGTTTTGGGGAGTCAACAGTTAACACTGGCTTTTGATGGGGGCAAGAGATTCATCCATTATAATAGGAAGTAGGGTATAGATGAAAGTGTTTTGAGGTTTAGGTTGTGGAGAGGTGATGGAGCCTTCTTCCTAAAATATAAAAATTATACCACTACTACCACATGTTGGTTTCCTGTTCCTACTGTAACAAATTGCCACAAGCTTAGTGGCTTGAAACAGCACATATGTATCATCTCACAATTCTGTACGTCAGACGTCTGAAAGGGGTCTCACTGGGCTAAAATGACGTGTCAGCCCTGGCCAGCTTGGCTCAGTGGATAGAGCATTGGCCTGTTGACTGAAGGGTCCCAGGTTCGATTCCAGTCAAGGGCACATGCCTGGGTTGCAGGCAGCCAATCAATGATTCTCTCTCATCATTGATGTTTTTATCTCCCTCTCCCTCTCCCTTCCTCTCTGAAATCAATAAAAAAATATTTTTAAAAAAATAAAAATAAATAAAATGATGTGTCAGCAGTGCTGCATTCCTTCTGGTGGATCTAGGGGAGAATCTATTTCCTTCTTCTCCAGCTTCTGCAGGCTGACTGCATCCCTCACCCGGGGCCCCCTCTATATTCAAAGCCACCAATCAGATCACTCCGACCTCTGCTTTTGTCATTACATCTCTGAGTCTGACACTCCTGCATTCCCCTTTTGCTTATAAGGACCTTTTCAAGTCACCTTACATTGGGCCCACCTAGAACATTCTCCCATATCAAGATCCCTAATCACATCTGCAAAGTCCATATTGTCATGTTAGGTAACATGGTCACATAGGGATTAGGACAGTGATGGCGAGCCTATGACACGCATGTCAGAGGTGACACGCGAACTCACTTTTTTGGTTGATTTTTCTTTGTGAAATGGCATTTAAATATATAAAATAAATATCAAAAATATAAGTCTTTGTTTTACTGTGGTTGCAAATATCAAAAAAATTCTATATGTGACACGGCACCAGAGTTAAGTTAGGGTTTTTCAAAATGCTGACACGCCGAGCTCAAAAGGTTCGCCATCACTGGATTAGAACATGGACCTCGTTAGGCGCCACTCTTCTGCCTACCACATACTATTATAAACCTGTGATATTGTACTTTATAATAATTATATGTTTTGGTCTTTGTCTATGGTTCCTGGTTCACAGTTCCCAGAGCCCTTGGAATTTCTTATGGGATTAGAGCAATGGGATCATTTTTTGTTATACTCTTGGGCCTTTGTCCTTAGTTCCTGAGCCATAAGGATGAAACAGATGTCTTGTTATAATAACAAGCTCTTTCAACTGCACCTGAGTTTATATTAAAAAGGTGACTTTTGGAAAGCGTCTAGGCAAGCTAAGGATGAGAGCTGGTTGTCAAGGGGACCTACCATGTGTAGAGGTTGGAGCTTTCAGCTGCACCCTCCAACCTTCAGGGAGGGGTGAGGTGCTAGAAGTTGAGTTCAATCATCAATGATCAATGATTTAGTCAATCATATCTAGTAATGAAGCCTCCATACAATCCCTGAACTATGGGGTTTGGAGCGCTAAACTAAATGTATCTATGTGCCAGAAAGGTGGTGTACCCCAAACTCGCCTGGGATGGAAGCTCCTGTGTTAGAACCCTTATGATCAACCCCTTTATATCTCCTCATCTGGCTGTTCATATGTATCGTTTACTGTTCTTTTTTTTCATGCTGATAAGAGTATTTCTTTTTTTTAAATATGTTTTTATTTATTTCAGAGAGGAAGGGAGAGGGAGAGAGAGATAGAAACATCAATGAGAGAGAATCATTGATCGGCTGCCTCTTGCACACCCCCTAATGGGGATCAAACCTGCAACCCGGGAATGTGTCCTTGATCTGAATCAAACCCGACCCTTCAGTCCATAGGCCAATGCTCTATCCACTGAGCTAGACCAGCCAGGGCAGTGCCAATATTTTTAATCTAACAATTGCACTTCTAGGAATTTACTCTACAGGTGTTCTCACAGGTGTAAATAGCATATCCTACTAGGACATTTCTACTAACTAAGCTCCAGACTTTATTCAGATTTCACTGGGTTTTTCCATTCATGTCCTTTATCTACTTCAGAATCCAATCTAGAATACCACACTGCATTTAGCCATCATATCTCTTAGTCTCCTCCCACCTGTGACAGTTTTTCAAGCTTCCCTCGTTATCACGACCTTGGTGATTTTGAGGAACAATATTGGTCAGATATTTTATTAGATCTCACTCAGTCTGACTTTGGCAGATGTTCTTCCCATGACTGGACTGGAGTTATGAATTTCTAGAAAAGAATTCCGCAGAGGTGAAGTGGCTTCTCATTGCATCACTGAGCATCATGGCGATGTTCACCCAGATCTCATGGGTAAGGCAGTGTTTGCCAGGTTTCTGCACTGAAATGGTACTATGTTTCCCTTTCCAAACTCTTCGGAATCCAGACACTAAGTCAAGTCCACCTTCATGTGTGGAAGGGGGGCTAAGCTCCGCCTTTTAGAAGAGGAAATATCTGCATATGTTCAATGAAACTCTTAGGAAAGGGAGATCACCCCCGCCCCCCAATCCTCCACCCTGCCACCCATTTACTCATTTATTCAAACATATATTTTTGTCACTATGGACACATGTACATTTATTTTATGTTTCGGGTAGTAATCTAATACTACATTATTTTATTGTTCAAATTGTCTCAGCTTTGACCACTGGGAGCTCCTTCAGGTTGGTTCCTGTGCCCTTTAGATATATTCCCATCCTGTTGATTTTTTGATTCTGTTGCCTGGAGGCTAGCCACTAGTCTTCCTCTCCTTCTTCAGTGGATCTGGCCTTCACTGGGGCTGGGCTGGACCGTCTCTTTGTGGAAGGCTAAAGTCAGAAAACATTGCACACTCCCTAGCCGGTTTGGCTCAGTAGATAGAACGTTAGCCTCAGACTGCCGGGACCCAGCTTTGATTATGGTCAAGGGCACATACCTGGGTTGCAGGCTCAATCCCTGGCCCTGGTCGGGGTGCATGTGGGAGGCAACTAATAGATGCATCTTTCTCGCATTGATGTTTGGCTCTATCTGTTCCCCTCCTTTCCACTCTTTCTAAAAATAAATGCAAAAATATATTCTGGTGAGGATAACAATAAATAAATAAATAAATAAATAAATAAATAAATAAATAAAATAAAAGCAGTGTTTCCAAATCCACTTTGTGTAATTAAAAAACATTGCATCTCGCCGAAACCGGTTTGGCTCTGTGGATAGAGCGTCGGCCTGCGGACTGAGGGGTCCCAGGTTCGATTCCAGTCAAGGGCATGTACCTGGGTTGCGGGCATATCCCCAGTGGGGGATGTGCAGGAGGCAGCTGGTCGATGTTTCTCTCTCATCGATGTTTCTGACTCTCTATCTCTTTCCCTTCCTCTCTGTAAAAAATCAATAAAATATATTAAAAAAAAAAACAAAAACAAAAAAAAAAAACATTGCATCTCAGTTGTGTCTGTCCCTAAGACAATTAAGAGGCTCTGCATGAAAGCCCAGGGGTCTTGCTCCCAAACCTCCCTCCAACTGTGGTGCACTGGGACCCCAGGACTTGGAGGTGGGGGCCTACATCTGTCACATGACCACTGTAGCCATGGCACTCCAGCGCAGCTTCTCCAGGGATCAGGACACAGGGAGCTGGTCTATAGGGGAACAGCTGGCCAGCTTTTCTCCAGGGCTCTCAGAGAGAGCCTGGCTAGATAAAGTCATAGATTTGTTGAGCTAGCTAGACCCACACCTTGAGATCTCACATCATCTCTTGTACAGAAGACCCCCCTTATCCATGGAGGATACGTTCCAAAACCCCCAGGGGTTGTCTGAAACTGTGGATAGTACCAAACTCTATATATACTAGGTTTTTTCCTATGCATACATACTTCCAATAAAATTTAATTTATAAATTAGGCATATTAATAAATTAACAATAGTAACTAATAAAATGAAATAATTATAACAATATATTATAATAAAGGTTATATGAATGTGGTCTCTTTCTCTCTCTCTCTCTCTGTGTGTGTATGTGTGTGTGTCTCAAAATATCTTATTTTACTGTGAGGGATGAAGAAAACTTTCCTCTGCCCTTCTAGGTTCTTTTGGCTGGTCTAATACTCAAATAGACATGAAACAGATTAACACAAGAGAATACGACCACATTTAATTACATATGCACATATGAAAATCCCACATACATGAGAGAATCCGGGTAAGATAAAATGGTATCTATATGACATTCTGAGCCAAGGATACGGTATGGAGCCTGGGGCTTCAGAGGGGAGGAAGATCTATCCCAGGGTAAAAAGAAAAGATATTCAGTAATTAGAAGTTTGTCCTGCCCTATGGATAGGTCATAAAATGTTATTTCAGATGATAACGCTTATTATGGGCAAGTTTCTCATGAGCCTTCGGGGGGTCTCAATTGCATTCAGCTCAAACTAATTCACATGCCAAAGGGGCACATCTGGGGAGGTCTGTCCTGAACCCCTTCAGTACTAACGTACAGTGTGGATACACGGGACAAAGGGATGATTCACATCCCAGGAGGACAGAGAGATTTCATCATACTCAGAACAATGCACAATTTAAAACTCATGAATTGTTTATTCCTGGAATTTTCCACTTAGTATTTTTGCCTACTTTTGACCATGGGAAACCATGGAAAGCAAAATCACAAATAAAGGGGGAATGTTGTATGTTTATCTTCTTACCCAAAGCCACCCATTTCCAGAGTTCTCCCTCTGAGATGACTGGCAGAGAAAACGTTTCCCCCGAGGAGTGGAAGAGGAAGATCAGGGATGTGGTATCTTTTGGTATTTATGCAACTAGCCACGCACCAAGTGAATGGGGAAGGTGGAGTAAAAGCGTAAATGCTGGTGCGAGTGTGTACAGAAGGGTGAGCATGTTTCAGAGGAGCATTAACTTATCTTTGTATTACAAACCCACCTTTCATTCCTCTCCCCCAGATTCCACCCAGGTCGTCTCTCCATCTCCACTGCCACCACCCTCATGCCACCAACATCTCTCACTTAGGCCATCACATGCTTAGCCTTACACTCCAAATCATTTTACAGACAGATTATCTTTTAAAACACAAATCAGATTATCCCACTGATCTGTTTTAAACCCTTGAATTGCTCTCCACTGCTATCATGATAAAGACCAAGAATTTTAACCCTCCAAATCCCTTACCTTATTTTGCATCACTCCTTCTTCACTGTCCAAGTTCCAGCCACCTCAGCTGCACCTCATGCAGACTCCTTACATTGGGGTACTCCTCCCTCCACTGCAACCCCATTTAAAAAAAAAAATGTGTATTTATTGATTTCAGAGAGGAAAGGAGAGGAAGAGAGAGCTAGAAACACCAATGATGAGAGAGAAACATTGATCAGCTGCCTCCTGCATGCTCCACACTGGGGATCGAGCCCAAAACCCGGGCATGTGCCCTGACCGGGAATTGAACCGTGATCTCCTGGTTCATAGGTTGATGCTCAACCACTGAGCCATGCCTGCCAGGCACAACCCCATTTCTTGACTCCTATTCTCCTTCGTTGTTCAGACCTACTAAGCCTTAACTAAAGGGTCTGTTAGATGAATGTAAGACTTTGGAGTCATTTCTCTCAAATGCCAAAAACAGAGGGGGGAAGAACCCTCGAGGCTTGTGAGGGGCTGGGACAACTGGCTATGGGAGATGACAGTGGTAGGAGGGGCTGCCACAGGGGTGGCTCCCAACCTTCACAGTGGGGTCTCCAGCTGCTGAGGCAGATCACCCCCACTCTACCTGGGCAGATCCGTGCAGAGCACGAAGGGGCGTGGACTTCATGTCAGCGAAAAAGCTTCAGATTCTGCTGCCACCTTACGGCGGGCATACCACAACACAGTGTTCCAGACTCTGGTTCCTGATTCAGGTCAAATCTAGGGCCAAAAAGAACAAGGCAGGCATACATGTTAATTTTTTTTAAATATATTTTTATTGATTTTTTACAGAGAGGAAGGGAGAGGGATAGAGAGCTAGAAACATTCATGAGAGAGAAACATTGATCAGCTGCCTCCTGCACACCCCCTAATGGGGATGTGCCTGCAACCAAGGTACATGCCCTTGACCGGAATCAAACCTGGGACCCTTCAGTCCGCAGGCCGACACTCCATCCACTGAGCCAAACCAATCAGGGCACATGTTAATTGTTATATGCATGCAATAACTGGAAAATGTACTTTCATTATAGAATAATTATAATACTTTTCATAGCATAATGATAAGACCAGTATCTTGTGAGCCATACACACCTCATTTGGCTCAGCATTGGGCTAGCTGTGTGATGCAGGGCAAGTCACTTTAACACTCTGTGAGCCCCAGCTCTCGCATGGAAATAATAATAGTACGTACCTCCACACAATGAGAGGTAAACTGTGTTAATAAAGATTGTGGGGCACTGAGTCCCTGGTATATGGTGCTCAGTTATTACAGATGAATGATAAAGGTGGACAAGGAAATCAGGGTAGTTCTTTTCTGGATGTTTTCTTCTTTTTTAAAAAAATTTGGGTGCACAATTTGAGTGAGTCAAAATCCTTGGTTTATAATGCATGCTCATCCCTGATTGTGCTACACATAAAAAAATGTACTTATGTGTTGGGATTGGGTGCTTAGAGACTATCTGATTCAACAGTTCAGACTAATTCTAGGACTGAAAGGAAACACCTACCCACACTTACAGCGTGCGCACATGGATAAGTTCTTCCCGATTGGTCATAGTAACTCATATTATCCTGCTGTCATCTTTAGGGAGGACTGTTCCCTATCTCATCTGGGCTATGTAGTGTGGGAACTTCAGGATTTTAAAGGTTACTTTAGATGTTGTGGGAGTAAGCTCTAATCTACAAAGAAAGGTGTCTTGTGACTTTCCTTAGAGCAGGGGTGGGCAACCTTTTTTGTGAGTGCCTGCCCAAACCAGCAAAATCTCTCACTCAAAATTCTTCTGTGTGCCAACCCTAATTTTTTGAGAACATGTTACGCCTACTTGATATCTCTTAAGGTGTACGCATGTGAAGAACCTTGAAGAAATAATAAAATTCATTCGAGCGACAAAAACACAGTATATGATGATGGAAAAATACATTTATTTTTTAATGTGTACATGTACACTGATAGTCTGACAGAAAACTTTATGACTCCGTTTGCTATTATCAGTGGGACTTTTGCTGCTGCATCACTGATGACAGATTTTGCGTCAGGTTTATATTTCGTGACCTTCAGAGATATGCACGAGCTACTACTTTCATCCGTCAGGCTACTCCTATCACGAGACTTAACAAAATTCATCACTGAGAACAAAGAGTCACAAGCGTATGTGGATGAAACCAAAACATACTGGTCGGATCTAGGAAGGCAGGGAGAGTTAAGGCAGAGGCATAGAAATTGCTCTTCCCCTCTCTCGTCAATCCATGTCTGTGGTCTTTAAGATAACTTGTTATGTAAAATTATTTATTTATCTAAGATGCACCTACACTGAATTTATCTGAAAAATAAAAAAAGTTGATATTCAGAAAAAAATTGTAAATGGAAGATTATGAGAGGGTTTTGCGTGCCAGCAAAAGTTACTGACGTGCCATGTTTGGCACGCGTGCCAGGGGTTGCCTACCCCTACCTTAGACGGGCACAGTGGACAAATTGGAGGGAGTGAAGAGCCCTCTGCTGGGACAGATGACTAAGTGCTTTCTGAAAGACAGATAAGAAGTGCTAATTTTTCATTTTCTCCTAATGTAATTTCTAGTTTCAAGAAAAATAACTAACTGTTCTTTTTTTTTCAATTTATTTATTGGTTAAGGTATTACAAATGTGTCCTTATCCCCCCATTAAACCCGCAACCTGTTCTTTTTTTTCTTTTTTTTTTTAATTAAATCTTTATTGTTCAGATTATTACATTTGTTCCTCTTTTTTTTCCCCCCCATAACTCCCCTCCTCCCAGCTCCCGCCCCACCCTCCGCCCTCACTCCCCCCCCACTGTCCTCATCCATAGGTGCACGATTTTTGTCCAGTCTATTCCCGAATCTCCCACACCCCTTTCCCCCCCAGGAAACGTCAGTCCATTCCCTTTCTATGTCCCTGATTCTATTATGATCACCAGATTATTTATTCACTTGATTCTTAGATTCACTTGTTGATAGATGCATATTTGTTGTTCATAATTTGTATCTTTACCTTTTTTTTCTTCTTCCTCTTCTTAAAGGATACCTTTCAGCATTTCATATAATACTGGTTTGGTGGTGATGAACTCCTTTAGCTTTTCCTTATCTGTGAAGCTCTTTATCTGACCTTCCGTTCTGAATGATAGCTTTGCTGGATAAAGTAATCTTGGTTGTAGGTTCTTGGTATTCATCACTTTGAATATTTCTTGCCATTCCCTTCTGGCCTGCAAAGTTTCTGTTGAGAAATCAGCTGACAGTCGTATGGGTATTCCCTTGTAGGTAACTGGGTTTCTTTCTCTTGCTGCTTTTAAGATTCTCTCTTTGTCTTTTGCTCTTGGCATTTTAATTATGATGTGTCTTGGTGTGGTCCTCTTTGGATTCCTTTTGTTTGGGGTTCTCTGCGCTTCCTGGACCTGTAGGTCTATTTCTTTCACCAGGTGGGGGAAGTTTTCTGTCATTATTTCTTTAAATAGGTTTTCAATATCTTGCTCTCTCTCATCCTCTGGCACCCCTATAATTCTGATGTTGGTTCGCTTGAAGCTGTCCCAGAGGCTCCTTACACTATCTTCATATTTTCGGATTCTTTTTTCCTTTTGCTTTTCCAGTTGGGTGTTTTTTGCTTCTTCGCATTTCGAATCTTTGACTTGATTCTTGCGCTCCTCTGGTCTGCTGTTGGGTGTCTGTATAATATTCTTTATTTCAGTCAGTGTATGCTTAATTTCTAGTTGGTTCTTTATCACAACATTGAGGGTCTCATTAGATTTCTTGAGGATCTCACTACATTTATCGGCGGTCTCACCAGTCTTTTCGAGGGCCTTACTAAGTTTATCGGCAGCTTCTAGACAGTTCTTAAGAGACCTTAAAAGTGTGGTTCTGAACTCAATATCCTCCATTGACAGTTTTGTCCTGTTTCTTTGTCTCCGCATTTTTTATGCTTTCTTGGTGCACCCCCTAGTGGTCTTTGTTCGCAGTCTTATAGTTAAATCTTGATTGTTGTAGCTAATTCCAGGGAGGGTTTGACCTCCAGGCCAAGTGGCTATGAGAATCAGCTGTGTCAGCAGTGAGAGAACTTCTGTCCTCTAGGGAGGTGCTAATCTAGCCTTTGCCTGAGGCTATCCGGCAAATGCCTGTGTGCAGGGCTTGGGCGGGGCGGGTCGCACAGGATCAACAGTGTGGGCTGGAGAGAACAGTTATGGCGGCTCTCAGTCCTGTCCCCAGGGGCTCTGCCTCTCTGAGTCCCAGCACCCGCTGCAAAGCTCAGAGAGAAAGCTGCACTCGCTCTGACCGAAGCCAGACAGTCCCGCTTCTCCCGTTTGAGTCTGGGTCCCTAAAGACTCGCCCGGATCTGGAGCTCAGAGTCTGCGACTCCCTTCCAATTGAAAACGCCAACCGCGCCCTCTGCCGCCAGCCCGCTCCGCGCACTCCGCACCTCAGAATTTGACTTCAGCACTGCGCCTCCTCTGAGTCTGGGTATGATATTCTCTTTCCTCCTAGTTGTAGAATTTCCACTCAGCCAGCCTTCCCGTGGTTCTGGGTGATGTCCGTTCTGTGCTTTAGTTATATCTCTGAAGTGGTTGTTTGAGGCAGCGATCTCCGGCGTTAACCTATGCCGCCATCTTGGTTTCTCCCTGTTCTTTTTTTTCTAATTAATTTATTTCCATAGTTATTTGCCGGCTAGACTCTTTACTCCTGATAACGGACTTTTTGTTTTCCTAAAATTCTAAAATATTCAGTTGAGCAATTCTCTCTTTCTCTCAGGGAACAAAAGCACTTAAAAGCTATGATTTTATATGTGAAAACACAGCTTAGTCCATATATCTTAGACTTAATATGTTGTTTTCTTACTTATTCTTTACAGAATCAAGAAATCTTGATTTCTCTGTGACTCTACTGCTATTTAGGATTATCCCCTCCCCCCTCTCTTTTTATGACTTCCAAGTGGCTGTGCTTTCCTGTTTGTGTTCATATATTTATTGGTTACAGCATGGCTATAGAATATAGCCTATACAATTTCTGCTTTTTGGACGTTATTAAGGTTTCTTATATGCAATAAATTTTTATGAATATTTGTAGCTGGCAAGCATTTCACAGGCTGCAGATCCAGGTTTGGTAAAATAAAATATAATTGTTTCTGTTACAAATTTTTTCCTCTACTTTGGATATCCATTACTCCTAATGACTATTAAAAATAAAACCCATCAGCGGTAGCCGGTTTGGCTCAGTGGATGGAGTGTCGGCCTGCGGACTGAAAGGTCCCGGGTTCGATTCCGGTCAGGGGCCGGATGTGTATCTTGGTTGTGGGCACATCCCTAGTGGGAGGTGTGCAGGAGGCGGCTGATCGATGTTTCTCTCTCATCGATGTTTCTGGCTCTCTATCTTTCTCCCTTTCTCTCTGTAAAAAATCAATAAAAATACATATTTAAAATATAAATAAAACCCATCAACTATACACAAATATTAGCGAATTCCATGTAAACTCTGCAATTTCTGGATTTTCAGGATTTTCCCAGGCAATTACGGTTCCCCTTTCCCACCTTCTCCCAGGATGTTGCATCTAAGTCAGGGGGAACTTCTGTACCTTATAGGAGGGTCATCTAAATGTTCTGTGGTCACCACCTGCCCTTTGGGCATCCCTTGAAACGTACATCTTCTTCCCCTCCCAGGCCTGTCACCGGCACAGATTATGCGGTCTTTTCCCCACACTGGCCGGTTCTGGTATAAGCAC